ACCATGCCCGGCCCCTGAATGGTCAGTGTCACCTGTGTTGTTAAAGCTGAGCTGATGACAGGCCGGGCGCGGTGGCTCAAGCCTGTAATCCCAGCTACTCAGGAGGCTGAGGCAGGAGAATTGCCTGAACCCAGGAGGCGGAGGTTGTGGTGAGCCAAGATCGCGCCATTGCGCTCCAGCCTGGGTAACAAGAGCGAAACTCCGTCCCAAAAAAAATAAAATAAAATAAAATAAAAGAAAATCAGTGTGTAAACATATGGGAAAAAAAAAAAAAAAAAAAAAAAAAAAAAAAAAAAAAAAAAAAAAAAAAAAAAAAAATTGTGGGAAAAAAAAAAAAAAAAAAAAAAAAAAAAAAAACAAGCAGACAAAAAACCAAGGAATAGCCATGAAAACATGTTCATATTGACACATGGAGGTAAATACAAACAAAGCAGCCAAGAGTTGGAAGGACTATCGTGAGGCAAGGACAGTGGGGTAAAGGCAGGGTAGGAGGCTGTTTTTCATAATAAACCTTACCGAACAACTTGCTTTCAATGTATGTCAACTGATTTTTTCCCCCTTAGATGCAGAATATAAAACTATTCACAGAGCTACATAGTTTAGGTTGACCCCCCTTCACTTTTCAGGATCTAGGTAGGGTTATAGGCAGTTTCCACTGTGTGGAGAATCTGCAAGGCTAGTGCTCCTGCACGGGTCCAGGGTGAACCACATCAAGTTGCTTTTCAGATCCAGGATGTAGTTCACTACTATTAAGTGTAATGTGTTATTATTCAAAGTACTGTTTACTGTCAAAGGAAGGGCTAGTGCTCCTGCACGGGTCCAGGGTGAACCACATCAAAAGTTGCTTTTCAGATTCAGGATGCAGCTCACTACTATTAAGTGTAATGTGTTATTATTCAAAGTACTGTTTACTGTAAAAGTATGATGAATTAAGTAAGGGTTATACTAAAACAACATATTCTAGTACAGGATCAAAATATGGCTTCAGGTCTACTATGTAAGAATCACTTATCTGGGGCACAAGGGAATATTGTTTAAAATGCAGATTCCTGGGCCCCATTCCAGGCATAGGACTTGCAGTCTTCACTTTTTTGAGACAGTCTTTTTTTGTCCAGGTGGGAGTGCAATGGCCTGATGTCCACTCACCACAACCTCTGACTCACAGGTTCAAGCAATTCACCTGCCTCAGCCTCGTGCTTAGCTGGGATTACAGGTGCAAGCCACCACGTCCAGCTCACCCAGCTCATTTTTGTATTTTTATTAGAGATGGGGTTTC